GAAGACAGTGGGACACGTCTGCTGATTGGACAGAAGACAGTGGGACAGTCTGGGCCCTTTAGGTCAACGGTGTCCTTTAAGACCAGCACCTCGTCGACCCATCAGAACCTTAAACCTCTGGTCTGACCTGCACACATCAGTCTGTAAAGGAAACATCTGCAGCTCAGACCTCCTCCACATCTGGACTGATGTGACCCCGTGAATCAGAAGACGTCGTCTCATCCAGCCCAGACCACAGAACACCCGGACCAGAACCCGCCCTGTTCCCTCGTGTCTCTGCTGAACTCAGGAATGTCTTCTCCCCGAGACGTGAGTCAGCCAGGAAAAACTGACGGACAACTTCTGGGGTCTGCAGGACGAGGTCCAGACCCGGGTCTACAGAGGTCCACAAAACCAGAACCTCGTCCTCAAACAGAGTTTTCATTTTCAGCATTACAGAAGCAACAAAACCCTCCAAACTGGGGTGGGGGGTGGGGGGGGTCAATCAGTTTTTTACTCGTCTTTTGACACAGAGGGACCGCCTGGTAACCATGGCAACAGCAGAGGCAACGAGGACAGCAACAAAAACACGAGCAGTTCTTCCCTCGTTAAAGTCTTCTCTGGGGAGACAACCTGCACCTTTCTTTGTCTTCTTTCTTTCATGTTTAACCTCATTTTTATTGGTCCCCCCCTCCTCCTTCTGGGGGGGGGGGGTGTCATGTGACTGGGAGGGGGTCATGTGATCCAAAGTTCTGAGCTTTAACAGAACCACAGCAACGTGATAAAAACTGATCAGCAATAATCATTCAGGTGTAGTTTCAAGAAAAATGTGTAACTTAAAGGTTCAAATGTCACTTTTTTCATTTCAGTTTGCAGCTGGCTCATGAGATATTTTGCTAACAGACAAATAAACGCACACCTGACTTTGATCAGAACTTTGTTTCCTCTTCAAAAAGTCCAAACGATCAAAAGTTCTGACTTCAGTCTGAAATTACAGATGGACAGGAAACCCAGTAAGACACGCCTGAAGACATAGAGGCCAATAAAATGTTCTGAACGCAGATCTGTAAGAACCCGCCACAAAAGTTCTAAAACTGGTCCGGTTCTGCAGCACCAGAACCCATCGAGCCCACTGACGGACTCAGCAGGAACTTCAGAACCTGGATTCTGATCAGTTTTGAGCCCAGGTTCTGCTCTAAAAACTACAATCCTGAACAGAACCATCAGAACTCAATTATTAACACTTAAACCACTCGTTTGAACGTGAGGATTTCCTACTGCATTTGAACGCAGCATCAGTGCTTTTTAATCCAACTGGACCTCATGGGACCAGAACCCAGAACAACACCACAGAAACAAACCAAAAGCAGTCTGATCGTTCAACTGATCCAGACTCAGGTCCAGTTCTGATGACCCAGATGACCCAGACCAACACAGTACAGGACCAGAGGGACTGGATCAGAACTTGTCCTCCATGTTTGAGTCCAAACGAACAAAAACATCCAGAAGTTAAAGAACTTCAGAACCACCAGAGTTTCCACACTAGTCAAACTAAAATGTATTTATTCTCCTCAAGTTCATGTTGGAGGTTTTACATTTTATCACTAGTCGAACTTTTTAATAAAACAAACAAACAAACAAACTTTCTTCAAGTAAACAAAAGAAATGCACTAATGAGTTTCACTTCATGAAGAATCAGACAAATGTTGGTTTCTGAGTTTTCAGATTTTCATCCCTCCATCCTGTCAGAGCCCCGCCCCCTGCAGGACAACCTGAGGACAGACTCAAGAGGACAGACTCTGAGGACACTCCCTGCAGGACAACCTGAGGACAGACTCTGAGGACACACCCTGCAGGACAACCTGAGGACAGACTCTTGAGGACACACCCTGCAGGACAACCTGAGGACAGACTCAGAGGACAGACTTTGAGGACACACCCTGCAGGACAACTTGAGGACAGACTCTGAGGACACACCCAGGAGACACACCTGTCTCACTCCTCCCTGCAGGACTCGAAGGGCAGGAGAGACCTGATGGTCCCGAGCAGAACCGGTCTGGACCGGGGGGGTCAGTCCAGTCCACGGACAGGTTCCAGTCTCGCCTGGTACCGAACCACCTGCTGGTTCTTCACCTGAGCTCCGAACCAATCAGTCTGAAGAAGCGCGCGCTCTGATCGATTAAAGCCACACATGAAGCAGAGAGGAGGAAGTTTGTTCTGACACCATCCGAACACACCGAACCGAACCGAGCCCAGATCAGGTTCGGTTCTTACCTCTGACGTAGTCGGACTTGGCTCCATCCAGCAGGCTGGACGCGGAGACCCCCATAATGGTTCTACTGGCGCGTGAGGATCCACAGGTGAAACCTCAGTCCTCAGGTCCAGACTGAGAGTCATCCGCCTGCAGCTGGAGGAGGAGGAGGAGGAGCAGGAGGAGGAGGAGCAACAGGAGGAGCAGGGGCGTGGTCCTGCTCCTGTCACGCCCAGACAGAATCCCTGATCTGATCCTTGAGGATTAATCTGCTTCTTGTTCTGAAGTGATTTCTCTGAACAAACATCGTGACAGAACAAAACACATCGGACTGTTCATTTCACTGACACCCCCCCCCCCCCCCACACACACACACACACACACTCACACACCCCACCCCCGGTCACAAACATCAAAACTACCAAAAGTTCATCCTGAACCACAGAAAGTGTTCAGTCCAACATTGTGGGTCTGCGCTGAACGTAAACAAATCAGAATGAACCGGGAGCAGCTGCTGACTGAACAAATACAAGTTTGGTTCAAATCTGTTCCTGTGGAGCCGAGGCCTCCGCTCTGAACAATAATTATTATTATGTCGGAAACAGACTTCCATACATGTCAGACACAGGCCAAACATATTTAACTGCTGCTTTTAATACAACGCATTATATTTATTACTGTTTATCTTAGATCCTGATACGTTTCTTGTTATACTTTATATTTTTGTTATTTTTAGATGTAACTGGGACCTTGAGTACACAATTTCATTCCACCTCATGTACCACATGTGATGAGAATGACAGTAAAGCCACCTTGAACTCTAAACCATAAAACACACAAAACAAAGATTTTTAAAATTGTGTTGCTACAAAAGTTCCCTGGAGCAGCTAAAACTGAGTTGTTGAAGCTTAAAGCAACTAAAGGATAGCTACAAGCTAAAAGTAGCAAACGAAGAGGATGACAAGTAGAAGATAGAAGAATAGAATAGAATAGAATAGAATAGAAACAGCCTTTATTGTCCCACGAATGGGAAATTCCAGTGTATCAGCAGCAGCAGATAAAAAGATTTCACACAAAAGTTCCTAAAATGTTAATAAACAACACAATATATAAGAAATAAGATAAACAATATCAATAATAATGTTCAATATGTATTGGAACATTGATAAGGACAGACTATTGACAGCACAGTGTTACAGGCAGAGTGTGTGTTTCAGCAGAGGTCAGCATGTTTTTAATCCTTATTGAGTTTGTTGGAGCAGTGATGGTTGTAGAGTCTAACAGCTGCTGGAGGAAGGAGCTGCTGGAGGAAGGACCTGCTGGAGGAAGGAGCTGCTGGAGGAAGGACCTGCGGTGACGCTCCTTTGTGCATTTAGGAGCAGGAACCTGTCACTGAACGAGCTCTCCAGTTCAGCAGCAGCTTCATGGGGTGGGAGACGTTGTCCAGCAATGATGTTATTTTAGCTGGAGTCCTTCTGTCTCCCACCACCTGCACTGGGTCGAGGGGGCGTCCAAGCACCGAGCTGGTCTTCTTGATGATCTTATCTAGCTTTTTCTTCTCAGCTGATGATAAGCTGCTGCTCCAACACACACCATAGAAGATGGCTGATGCCACTACCGAGTCAAAGAAGGTCTTCAGGAGCACCCCCTGCACTCCAAAACACCTCGGTCTCCTCAGCAGGTAGTCTGCTCTGACCCTTCCTGTAAAGTGCATCAGTGTTGTGAGACCAGTCCAGTTTATTGTTCAGGTGAACACCCAGGTACTTGTAAGAGTCCACGATCTCGATGGTCACTCCCTGGATGTTCACCTGGGTCAGTGAGGTGGACCTGCGCCTGCGGAAATCCACCACCAGCTCCTTAGTTTTAGCAGCGTTGATCAGGAGGTGGTTCTGCTGGCACCAGTCCACCAAGTCTTGAGTCCACTGTCTGTACTCTGAGTCGTCCTCAGCTGTGACGAGGCCGACTGTGGCAGAGTCAGAGAACTGTTGCAGACGGCAGAGCGGGGAGTCGATGGTGACGTCTGCAGTGTAGAGGGTGAAGAGGAACGGTGCCAGCACAGATCCCTGTGGGACCCCCGTACTGCTATAAAGTACTATCAAGTTTTATCTTCGCTTAGCTGTAACAAAACAGCAGCTAAAAGCTAAAAGTAGCATTTTTTTCTTCTTTCGGCTGCTCCCTCAGGGGTCGCCACAGCGACGAACTCACATGAAGACTTGGCGATTGTTTGGATGCTGGATGTCCTTCCTGACTCAACCGACTCTGAGTGGGGCAGAGAGCTGCATCTAGGTCACGGGGGGGGTTAGATGGCCTTGCTCAAGAGCCCAGAGTGGGGCAAATGAGGGTGGAGGCAGGTGTGGGTGCTTCACCTTTCGTTTTGATGTTTGTTTGGGGAGTTGAACCGACGACCTTCCTATCACAGGTCCACCTTCTCTAACCTCTGCACCCCCCAGCAAAAAGCTAAAAGTAGCATTAAACACTGAGAGCCAGCAGCTGAAGCAGATTTCACAGAAACTGAACCTTCAGGTGTTTCTTTACAGAAAACGTTTCTAGAAAGTTTAAACTAGAAAAGTTACAAAAGTCAGAGCAGCCGCCTCCTGAAGGAGCCGAACATACGAGTCTGCAGGCGTAGCTACATGCTAAAGGCCATGCATAACTTCAGCTCTCAATGACCTCACATATTTTAGTTTGTAGCTGAAGGAGCCAAAGGCGGTGTCGTGTCGGGTGGAGCCGAGCAGGCTGGCTACAACAAGGGCAGCAACAGAAACAGAAAGAATTTTAGTAAATGAAGAGCAGCCGCAGCCGCGGAGCCTTAACTCGGATCAGACGTGCTCTGAGAAAACCAGACTGAAACGAACAGACGAAGCCGACTCCACCACATCCACCAACACAAGACGGTCTGCCGTTAACGTGCTGCTTTCACTCTGCACCTCGTGCTGTTAAGCTGGAAAATTATAATCTGTAGAGCTGAAAACAGAAATGAAACACTGACGGTAATCTGAACGATTTTATTGTTTTAATAAGACAAAAACTGAAAAAGGATCAGAAGCTAAATGTTTAGGAAGCGGTTCTCGAAGAAATAAATAGCTGAAATCAGACGGCGTGTGCGGCTGCAGAGTCAGTGGTTCTGTGTGCTTCAATCGGGCTCCATCAGTGCAGGCAGAGGTTCTGGAGTGAAGCTGCCGGGTTTCCCGCCCTCCCCGCCTCAGAGCGGTGTCTCGGAGGTCTGCGTGGCCGTGGGGTAGTTGGGGACGCTGTACTTGGCGAGGACAGATTTAAACTGCTGCAGCGTGGCGTCGGTTCGAACCCCCGTCGGGTCGAAGTGGGTCCGGCTCACCCTGAAGCCGGCCTCCATCAGGTACTGGAGGAACTTGTTCAGCCTGTGGACGGATTGAAAAGAGAAAACTGACTCGGGGTTAAAACACCTGGACGGTAAACGTCCGACAGGTGAGGTTTCTACTCGTCTTAAGACCAACGACCGCAAAACGTTCAGAACATTTCAGCTCTCGCTTTACATTTTTGTAACATTTAGCTCTTTTTTCATTTTTACTTTTAATTGCACTGAGATTCTATTAAAAAGTCCTTGAAACTTTGTACTCTTTGAAATCTGCTTCAGCATAATCTTCCGGTTATATCAGGTGTACCCCAAGGCTCCATTCTTGGTCCAATTATTTTCTCCATATTTATAAATTAAATCCTGCATTCTGTCAGTGAGGCCTCCATTCATTTATATGCCGATGACACTATTTGATATGCTTTTGGTTCTACTCCAAATGAGGCAGTGAAGTTCCTTGTGGTTTTCTGGAAATCCAGCAGGACTTTTCTCACTTGAATTTGTTCTTAAATGCCAAGAAAATTAAATTCATGTGGTTCAGTCATGGAGGAGGAACCATACCATGCTGATTATCTCATGTTGCTCTATTCATTCATCACAGGCTCATGTTTGGGCTGCTGTTGATATGTCGTATTGTTTTACATTATTACTGTTTAGTGTATATCTTAGATCCTTATTTACCTTCTTTTTATATTTTTGGGTGTAACTGGGACCCTGGGTACACAGTTTCATTCCACCTCATGTACCACGTGATGCGAATGACAATAAACTTGATACCCACCTCGGTGGACTTCACCACAGTAAACAGTGATATTATAGAAGAGGCAACGGTTTATAAATGTTTGTGAATTTGGACTGATGGTGTTCTGTCCTTTTCACGCCATGTTCATGTTTTACAATCTAAGGTTAAAGCCAGACTTGGTTATCTGTGTAGAAATCGATTTTCATTTAAGTTGGCTGCGAAACACACCATTGTTGAACAAACCATTCCACCCGTGTTGGATTATGGAGACATAATTTACAGACATGCTTGTGTGTCCTTCGTAATCTGGACACAATTTATCACTCTGCTATAGACTTTGTTACAAACGCTCCTTACGGAAAGAACGTCGTCACCTCTGCTCTCGTTAAATGACCTTCTCTACATATTTGTGGTGAAATTCATTGTTTTACCCTCATTTATAAAACGTTGCTGGTTATTCACCTCCATATTTAACTCCTCTACTGCGACTAGCACCGGTTTGGAAGTACAAGAGCCGATCCTCTCGGTGTTTGTGGTTAACAACTCCACAGACCAAGGCTGGCTCTGCTGCTCTCACTGGAATCTGCTTCAACAAACTTTGGGTCCGACCTCACTCGTCTCAGCTTCTACTTTTAAAAATGGTTGAAAAGCTGTTTTTAAAGATACTTGCAAATGTTTTCATGCTTAGTAATGTTGTCTTTTATGAACTGTTGTTAATGTAGTTTGTGATTTCCTTGTTTGTTACTGACTTCTATATTTTTTTGTTTTGTCTAACTGGATCGTTTCTCTTCCCTCGACCCTACAAGGACCTGTGGTGCTGCTGTCAATAAGAATGTGTTCTTCTTGTTCACGTCTGGTTAAATAAAGGTGAAATGAAAGGAAAAATGAAATAGCTGCATCTTCTTTTAGCTTTTAGCTACTGTTGTACTGGTATTGGCCATTACCTACTCCTAATTTTGACTTTGATGTTTTGTTTTCCTAGTTCAGCCGTTGGCCATATTTAACTAGAGCTTTTCCTTGTTTCAACTTTTGCTCTGATAGTTTGAACTTGAACAGGATCAGCCTTCCTTCAGCGCTCGTTCAGCTGTTTATAGTTTTTAAATATTCTAGTTCCTGAAGAGGACTGCCACAACATAACGATAACCCCTCTGACTGTAACGCTCCCTGGAGGTCAGAGGTCACTCACTTGGGCATGTTCATGCCTCTGATGCTGTGCCGGTGGATGCTGTAGTAGAACGGCGGGTGTTCCAGAGACGCATCAGGCTTCAGCTTCTTCACAACGTTCCCAGAATCCTCCCCGCTCTTTCTTTTCCCTGCAGGGAAAACAAAATGATACTTAAACGAGCAGAAAAAGCATCTAAAATGTTGGTTTGCTGTGACGAAACCATTAAAACCCGAGCAAAGCAGTAAAATCATGCGACACTGCCCCCTACAGGACGACTACAGAATTACACAAGTGGGTTGAATTTATAACATTTTTATTTTTACTAACTTGTAACCCTCTTGAACCTGCTTTATGTTGATGTTTAATTAGTCTGTTGTTTTAAACAGGTCTGTAATTCTTGTGTGCAGAAGCTGTTTTCAGAAAACTGGGTGCAACGAAGAACTTACCGAAGTTATCAGCCGGACCCGCCTCCTCTCTGCTCTGCAACGTCTTAATGACGACTCCACACTCCACTGCAGACAAAACACAAGACTCAGCGTCTCGTCCGACAAACACCCGACAGCGGCACAGCCGAGGCCGTTACCCTGGTTGGTGAGAGACGACGACCCGTGGACCAGGGACTTGAGGGTGGTGCACTCGGACTCGCAGATCAGGAGCTTGACGAGCGGCTGGATGTCGTCCATGCTGTGCTGCATGGCTGCAGAGAGCATCCTCCTCAGAAAGCCGGTGTTAAACAGAGGACCGCACCTGCAAACGAAAAACTAAATCTTTCCTTCTCCGAGGAGAACCAGGGAGGTCTGGACCTGGACCAGTGATGCCCAGTACTGACTGGTATCTGTTCTGTGGAAAAACACTCTCATTCTGCAAACACACCTCAAAAATGTCCCCAGTGACAAAGAACTGAGCTGAGTGATGCTACCTGACTTACAGGTGACCAGTTTACAGTGTGTGTGTGTGTGTGCACGCACCACAGAGGTCCCAGCTGCACGGCGGTCTTTCCAGGCAGACTTCCATGGCAGTTACAGGGCAACGTGTCTGAAACAGACGGAGGGATTTACTCGTCTTCATCGTTCCCTCTACAGCGAAAAGTCTTTTCTTACAGAACAACAGGCCACGCTGCAGACACACTTGAATTAAACCAAACGTTTCGTGCCTCAAAGCTTTCTGGAGGGAGAAAATAAAACGTTAACGTGTTTTTTAACCTTTTGTCTCCAGATTGCTCCTTTAGTTCCAAGTTTTTAAAAGAAGAGCCTCCACTTGGTTAGGACTGATAACGGACCGCTGCACCAGCACTTTCACAAACATCACTTTAAGAGTTTAGATGATCTGTGCACAGAAACAAATACACGTACCGTATTTTTCACCCTATAAGTCACATTTGTTGTTGTTTTTGTGTATAATTTACATACCCTGCAACTTATATGCCGAAGCGACATATTTTTCATATTTAAAAACAATTTTTGGCTGAGATATGACGATTTTATTAATTCTGACTGAAAATATTGAACACTCCCATTTTCAGCAGCTAGTTGGCACTCAAGCAGTATGGCATGCTGTTATGTCATGTAAAAGGGAAAAGTGGCTATTAATGACACAATGGGCTTGCCACAGTCCGCCAGCTTCGTCCAGCTCTCCTGGAGCAACCGTTAAATCAGCTTCATTTCTCTGCGCCGCCCCGGAGACACGCAGCTGATTTGACCCTTGAAGTGAATTTATTAAGTAAAAGTTCAACGGAGAAACACTTTTACTATAATTCTGAGCAAACAAATAAAAGTTTTTAAGTGTTAATCTTGTTAAATTCTTGTTAAAGTCCTCCCGTGCACGCTCCCGCGGCCACCATTTGGCAGCCAATCGATTTTTGGCACAACACCGGCCCACGTTTCCAGGATGTCAGCGGTGACGCGTAATAAATGCGACTTCTACGGCGAAGTGACGCATTTATGTATTTTCCTACTTTATTAGACACATTTGGACTGATGCGACTTATAGGGCGGTGCGACGTGTACGGAGGAAAATACGGTAGACCTGTTCAATACTATCATATTATTATTGTCCCCAATGAGTCCATTTCCACTGTATTATCTTTAAAAACAACTAAACTCAATCTGTGCAAAAATAGTCAAAGTTCTTTTGTCTGAATACGACAGTTCGTTAAAATTACCCTTAAATTTCCAGTTAATTCCCATAAATCCTACAAAAAGTTTCCAATTTGGATTATTTCCAGTTTACGTTTCCATGGAAAGTTTCTGGAAATTTATCGTAAACTACAACTTAAATAAGTTGGACTTGAGTCATAACGTCGTCTATGCTCAAAGCGTGTGGTTTGTGCAACACAAAAACAAGCTCGAGTCACAAAAGTGTCTAAACATTGGTTCCACCCACAACTTTTTTAGGCCCAGAAAAACGGCTTCACAGCTCGACAGCCTTTGGATTAAACAAAGCCAAGCTCAACTGAGAGGGGACTGTAAAAATGTGTTGTATTTAATTAAGTCATTGCATACCGCAGGGCTCAGTCTTAGGCCCCCTCCTCTTCACACTGTATCTGCTACTCTTGGCTCTATTTTTAGAAAATATGAGATCTCCTTTCATTGTTACATGGATGATACACAGATATATGTCCTGCTAAAGAAAAAGGACACTATAACTCTCTGGCCCCTCTGTTTTCATGTCTGGAGGACGTAAAAGTCTAGATGGATGTGAACTTCTTAAAGTTCAATGAGGGAAAGACTGATGTGATGGTCTTTGGAAGCTCCACTGAGACTCGGTTCCGTGGCCCAGTACACCAGGGAACTGTTACAAACTTGGGGGTGAAAGTTGATGCTGGACTAAAGTTAGAAGTAAAGTGCTGTGTACTGTCATCACAGTATGTTCCATACAATGGTGAAACTGGTTCTCTGCATTTAACCCATCACACCTGAGATACACCCAGGTGGGGTAGTGGGCAGCTATGTAGGCGCCTGGGGAGCAATTAGGGATTGGGTATCTTGCTCAGAGACACCACGACACGTGGGAATGGCTGGGGATCGAACCCCAGGTCGGCTGCCCTCCATCTCCGCCTCTCAAAAACAAGCTCAAGTCAGAAAACCACACCAGAGCTGTCGTTAAAACTAGTTTTTTCATCTGAAGCAGCTAAAGTGAAGCGATTCTTTCTCAACAGCATTTTGAAACAGTAGTTCACGTCTTTGTGACCACTCGGCTGGACGACTGTAACGCACTCTATACAGGACTCATCTCAGCTTCAGAGGGCGCAGAACGCTGCTGCACGGTTTTTAACTGGCACTCCAAGGTTTGACCACATCTCTCCTCTTTTATCCTCCCTGCACCGGCTGCCCGAACATTCTAGGATTCATTTTAAATTATTTGATTTGCTTTTAAACCTCTAAATGAACTTGCCCCGTCCTACCTGTCTGAGTTGCTACACCCGTACACACCCTCTGGATCCCTCAGGTCAGCTGATCAGCTGCTCCTGAGTGTGTCGAAGACAAAGTGTAAGCTCAGAGGAGACCGTGCTTTTGCTGTGGCAGCTCCTAAACTGTGGAACGACCTTCAGTGAACATCACACAAACCATCTCTTCTCCCTGACCTTTGACCCCATCTGAGAGGTTGACTTTAATTATTTTAATCACTTTTATTATCCGACTGTCTGATTGTTTTATTGTGTGTCCAGCACTTTGGTCCTGTGGGAGTTTAACGTGCTCTATAAATAAAACTGGAATACTCAAGATTTATTATTTATAGAATATAAGTTAGGCAAAGATAAACCCGAACTAGATTTATACAGTGAAGATAATCTGAAGAGAAAACTAGAGCTGCGTTTACACAACGGATCGTTGGTTTTGTCACAGAAAAGACAGATGTGATGAAGCTTATGATCAATATTGATCGAGTATCGAACATACATGACTGACACCCTCCACCCGTTTGTGCTTCAAAATAAAAGCCTTTTCCTTCAGAGCAGCTGAAGTTCGGCTGTTTATCAGTGCGGTGGCGTTCAGCAGCATGAAGGACCAACAGCTCACCGTCCACCAGGTTCCCCAGTTTGTGGAAGACCCTCTCCTCGCACCACTGACAGTGGACCAGTTTACGGAACTTCTTGGCCGACTCGTCGGCTTGAGTCGGACCTCTGAGGACTCTCACCACCACCAGCACGAAATGCTCCAACGCCACGGCCAGCAGCACCTCGACGCCTTTGTTGCAGCGCGCTGCTGCTCTGCAGAACACGGCAGACATCCCAATTAACGCGGGGCGATCTCGACACCGCGGCAGGAAGTTCAACGGCGAGCCTCACCTGGCCACAGACGCCAAGACCATCCGCGCAGCCAGCTCTTTGTAGTACTCGGTGCGAACGATGCTGCAGCCGTAGTGGCGCAAGGTGACGTTGGGCGTCTTGGCGTAGAGAGAACTCGTGTCTGTGGACGTCACCGAGATGATGCCGAGGTTACGGACGTTCCTGAAGGCGGCGTCCAGGTAGTTCACAGCTGTGCCGAATGGATCCAGGTGGCTGTAAGAGACGGTGCCGGTTATTCTGCAGTAAAGCTGCACGTTTTTAAATACTCTAAAGATCTGAACAACATTCCTGAGACCACGAAAGACGTATTCAGACCGTCTGACTTTCAGCTCACTGACATGTAGTCGAACGGCCGCAGGTGCATGATGACGTTGGCGTCCATCGTGACAACCTCCACAGTGGCGATGGGAGCCGCCTCAGCCTCACTGCCAACTCTGTGGGGGCTCCCGGGGCCTTGCTGGCCTTCATCCACCTGGATGTTGTTCAGCTCACAGTTCTCTTTGATCATCGTCACGCAGGTGTCACTGATGTCCGTTATGGTCACTCTGACGCTGTCACGGAGGTGTTTGGCCCACTGGAGGCCCATGATGCCTGCAAGGCGGCACAGGATGGAAAGATTTACCAGTTGTTACTTGAGGAGGGTAAATTTACATCAGTTTATCCACTTTACTTTGGTGGGAAGAGTAAAAGCTCATTATAAGACACAATTTATTTTGGTCTGAATGACCTCAGTAAAATAAGATTCATGGCTCTTGTCGTGTCAAAAAGTTTAAGTTTAGAGAAAATGTGTTTCAAGACCTGTAGCTCCGAAAGCATCCAAACACTCGAGCGGGTTTCGTTCCTCGGCGAGAACAGCGAGCGAACAAAACACCAGCTGCCTGAAACACAAACGCACAGTCAGCTGGCAGACACGGACCATCCGGACCAAGAGTGCGTGCGGACCTGTTGGTCTTCATCTTGCGGTTGAAGTAGGTGTCGCTCTTCTGCGGGGTGGTGTGGTTGGGGAGGAGCTGGACGTTGGTTCCGAGTTCTTTCATGATCTCGTAGGTCTGACCCGACGGCGCTGCAGACACAGTGAAGCTGTGAGTTCGCACTGAACCCACAGGACAGACGGGACTCTTCTGTCTGACCCACTTCGCCCAACATTGAGTTAAAGCAATGGTTCCCAACACTGGTCCTTGAGGAACACCATTCTGCATGTTTTAGTTTCCCCGCCTGGACACATCTGATTTAAATGAACGGGTGATTAACAGCAGAACACGAGGAAGTAAATAAATCACTGAGTCGTGTGTTGGAGCAACAAAACAACTAGAACATGCAGGATGGTGTTCCTCAGGGACCTGGGTTGGGAACCACTGATTTAAAGTATTCACAGAAACAATTTTAGCTTAAAGTTCCTGCTTTCAGCTCCAGCTGTTCGTCCCATAAAGACCTCTAGTTACATTTGATCTCCAGGATCTCGGCGCAGCGTTTAACGGCGGTTCTTACTCGGCTCTTCAAACGGGACGTCGGAGCTCCCGGAGTAGCTGGCCTTGGTCTCGCCCTTGTTGACGTGGCGTTTCAGGTGGTTGACCATGTCGGCCTTTCGAGCGATCATGACTGAACACACCACGCAGTGGTAGTGAGCCATGTGTCTCCCCGACGCCTGGAGGGAGCGTGAAAGCACTTTCTGAGTCTCACCTCCAACATCGTTCTCTTCCTGAACAGGTTCTGCAAACGCTGCGGGTTCGGACTCACCTGGTCTCCACTGAGGCTGGGCTTCAGGTTTCTGCAGGGCAGGTGGCAGATGCACATCTTGTGGCCTGAAAAAGACCAGGTCAGAAGTCAGCACATCATCATCAGACTGCAAAAAGCAGGAACTGAAACAACTCGGACAACGAGCGGTGCTCCGACGTCCCCCGTCACTGAGGACTGGAACAGTGAATGTTTGTAGTTTTGGAGGAGTGTTTTTCTGGACTGGGACTGAACAGAGAATCAAGTAAACCTAAATGTTTTTAGTTTAAAATATTGAAGTGGGGAGGAGTTACACTGTGGACAAGAAAGGAGGGACTGTTTTTTAGGGATGCACCGATCCACTTTTTTTAACTTCCGATCCCGATACCTAAATCTGAGTATCGGCCGATACCGATCCAGTTCCAATACCATCATCATCATCATTGATTTTATGAGGCTGTAATAATCTGCTCTCAAGTACAATTTGTACAAATATATGCATGCATGTCCAAAAAGGCAACTTGAGGCAAGTTTTATTAATGTTGGATAAGTTTCAAAGTTAGAATTAAATTCTGCTCACACAAAACATGTTTATTTCATTGCTAACTTTGAAGTGGATTCTGGATGGGGATGAAGATGTTCACATCCTGGACAGAGAGGAACGATGGTTTGAGAGAGGAGTAAAGGAGGCCATCTTTGTGAAAAGAAATCATCCATCATTAAACAGGGGTGGAGCCTCCAGGTTCAACTGTCCCCCTCTTACAATGCTGTGATTGCTAGTATCACTCAGCCCCCTGTGAATAGTAAACAGACATCAGGTGCTAATGATCCATTGTTAGGCTGATGGTCCTTCTTTATCATGTGAACAGCTGGTTTTGGACGTCAAGCGTGTCAGACCTCCGTTCTGCAGAGGAGAAGTGGGCGTGGCCAAGAGGCTGGCAGGTGGCACAGGAAGCAGAGGCAGTGAGAGGGAAATCATGACATTCTGTCTCAGAGCGTTTAGAAACATTGTTTAGAACATCCTGATACATGCTCAATAATCCAGGTAGAAAAATCTAAAAAAAGTTAAGAGGACCAGATTTAACTTTTTTAGATTGTTTAGAACATCGCAAGAGTGTGGGAAGGGTTTAAAACACCTTTTTTTTCAGGGTACAGACCCCCCGCGATAAACGAGGGACAACTGTATACATATATGGCGGCAGCCATCTTGGATTTTGACATTTTGACAGTGCGATAGCTCTGTGGTTAAGCGCCAAAGCCTTGTAATTCTGGGGCTGCTGGTTCGAGCCCAGGTCAGGAAGGGTGTCCAGCATAAAACAAATGCCCAATCTTTGCTCTGTGACGAGGGACAGAAAGAGCCTAGAACCTAAACAGCGCGGGATGGAAACACAAGTTATTTACTCTGGACCAGACCTGAAATGTCCTGGTCTGCATTGATTTCTACATCAGCAGACATCTGACCGACTGAGGGCATGAAAAGCACCTTTCCTTGAAGGAATGCATATCGCCCGCCGTCTTGGATACTAAAATGTTAAACAAAAATCTCCTGGGATCTCTCAGAATCTGTAAAACTCGCCGAGCTGCAGCCGGTTTGTGTGTTCTGAAGCTCCTGCGACGTTTTGCCACCAGACAGACAAACACACGATCGCCCGCTCATCGTGATGGCGGGCGACCACGACTGATTCTCCGGTCTTACCCTCAAACTCCACGTAAACCTTCCAGTGGAGGTTCTGCAGGTGCCGGCGCAGTTTGTGGCTGTAAGAAGCTTTAAACTTCTCCTCGGGACACAGAGGACACGACTTCCGCCCAGCTGAGGAGAAAACAGTCGAACCGTTAAACGTTCGTTCAAAAATGAAACCGTTTCACTCAGAAATGTTCCGTTTACTGTCAAATTAATTCAGCTACTTTAAATCTACAAAGATAACTCATTCATCACTTTATTTTTATTAAACAGACGTCAATAATCCGTGCCATCATATTTTCATATGTCAGAGCCTCAAAGTGACAAAAATGATCACGTCGGTGACAAAAAACTAATGTGGAGGAAATAAAAGATTAGAGTCCACATTTAACTATACCTGCTTATGAAACGGGCAAATAATATGTAATAAATAAGTTAAATAAATATAAAGGACTAACTACACAAAATAAAACAACCAATAAACGAGATTTTATAAAGAACTCGATCTGTTTTTATTTGATTTATTTAGAATATAAGCATTTTTATTCCCAGCTCAGTTTATTGAAATTTAGAGTTAAAAGATATTTGAAGTCTTTGACTAAATCAAATGCAATTACTTTAAATAAATCTATTTTTAAAAAGACCATTTAATTACTGAACAATGTCCGTCTATGTTTCAAATGTAACAAATTTCAATCAAGGTGTTTTAATATAAATAGGACAGAGAATTAATAATAATTATTAAAAAAATAATAATAAAGAATTAATTAACTATTGGACAGTTTTGAAATATGTCAGAATTGATTCATTGTATTTAATCTAATGATTTATTGACTCAAACCACCTAAATTTAATTAACATGCTGGAGAAGAATATTGTAGAAGACTGAACTCACCGTCGTTCAGGTCGACCAGCATCTCCAGTCCCTCCAGTTTGGTCTGGATGGAGATGTGTCTCTCTGCACACAGAAAGGAAAGACGTGGTGGTTCTGTGGTTTTACTCAGATTAAAAAGAAAAACGTCAGAGTTGGGCTGAAACGATGGATTACCGAAAGTCGTGGTTGAAGGTTTGGAGTCGCAGTCTGCGGCAGCTTGGCTCTGCTCTGCAGCCTGAACATCTGCAGGAGCATCTTCTTCCTCACCTTTGGAGATGAAGAGACGAAACTAAACGTCTGATCTGTGACCAGTCTCCAGATTCGTGATGTCAACACGACAAAAAACATTTTTCCACTTGTGAAGGACTCGTGATTCTCTCTCAAGCACAAACTCTCAGCGACTCCAACTACACTGAGCTCAGAACGTTCTCCCTCTAACAGGAAGTGAAGACTCTTCATCTCCTCCATGACACACGCAGCTTACACGTAATATTTTAATTTATTATGATGCGAGTTAAACAAATGTTTGAACAAAGCTCAGGCTGTGATGGTTCGAGGTCCTGGTTCCTAACAAAACATTGATTTTGAAGGACGCGTTTAGAAACTGCATCTATGACGCTTTACTAATTTTGTTTATGGCATTTTGAGTCTTAATTGTGTTTAGTTGTTAAACTTTGTTTTTAAATAGGCTTAATAACACAAAAGTTGCCGTTTCGATGAAATCTGAAGCGTTAAAAATGTGAACTGTATAACATATAATGATAAATAATGTACAATAAAAAGTGTATAATGTATAATAATATATGTACAACAACGATAAATTACTTATTTAACAAATATTAGTTGAGTGTTTTGGACAATGCTCATACTTTTATTTTGGTAAAGCATGTGTTTCTGGTTCCTGTGTGTTAACTTGAATGTACGTTGGATGCGTAGTTGCCAAGTTCTCTTATTATAAGCCACTTTGGGCTCATGTTTTTCTAAAGTCACTTGTAAATTTTATGAGTCGCAGGTTGTGGTTTTTTGGGCTTGTTTTGAACGGTAAGTCACTTTTTTGGGGCTGGTTTTTCTTTACGAGTGAAAGCAAAAGACGAGTTGTAGGTAGTTTGTCCCTTCACGTCTGCCTTCCACGGATGTTACGTTCAGGCGGGTGTTACGTTCAGGCGGACGTTACGTTCAGGTGGATGTTACGTCTAGGCGGATGTTACGTTCAGGCGGACGTTACGTTCAGGAGGATGTTACGTCAAGGTGGATGTTACGTCTAGGCGGATGTTACATCCAGGAGGATGTTACGTTCAGGCAGATGTTACATCCAGGAGGATGTTACGTTCAGACGGATGTTACGTCCAGGAGGATGTTACGTCCAGGCGGATGTTACGTC